CATACATACATACATATATATATATTATGCTAAACATGCTTATCCAAGTAATAAAATATCAAAAAAAAAAACCTACACCATAAACTAAGAATGGATAATCTCTTCCATAAAAAGAGAAGCATGAAACTAACGAGTGGATCACATTTAATTCTTGAAAGAACGATGGAAAAGAAGAGGGAAATTAATTCATCATCATCAATACATGCTTCCTTTGATTCCAGCTAGCTGGGTAGCTAGGGGAGGGAGTAGGTGTCTCTAATGGCTCTGCATTCTCGTAGGTGTTCGAATTTGGGTGGGGGATAATTGCAATCATTGGTGCACCTACCCCCTTTGAATCGTTTTGTGAAGATGCATACATCACAGTAGACGTACGAGCCCTCGGCCATCTTCTGCTTTCAGCATCATGATCTCCTGCATGGTGAGATCGAGACAAGTATTATACAGACCACATCTTGTCCACTGCCTCTATCTAACTCCATTTCAGCAAACTGATGATCTTGCCTCGTATCCTTGTGCATTCCTCCACAGAAATGCCGATCTCTAGCTGAAAGCTGAAGCTTTATGTTATAATATGTCAATTAACCATTGTAATTTAATAATTTAAATTATAAGATAAAATTTTAAGATATAATTTATATTTTTTTATAATACACCCTTTCAAAATAAAACTTTTTATTTTAAAATTTGTATAAACTCATATTATTTTATATTTATTGTTTATTAAATAAATAGAAGTAAATAGATTTGAATTCATAACCAGCTAATTATCAAGATTTTAATATTATATCAAATAACTATATCATGTAATAACTTAAGTTTTGCAATAATATAAACATAATACAGCCATAACTTAAGTAGAGGATGTAGTTTTGCAATGATTATTTTAATGTATTGCTCACATTCATGTCATTTGGTTCATATTGGACAATTAACACTTGTGTATTTGTGACATGTCTCGCGTATATGGAAGAGAGGAAGAACTTGTTTCTAGTTTAATGAATGATTTTGGCTTTGTTTTATAAAATAAATCATTGAGAATCTATGATTACCATGTAATCCATCATATCATACGTTTTTAATATCAGCTGAATATGTTAAGATTTTCTTTCACACTTGTGGGGAGTCCTATATATATATATATATGAAGTAATTAAGGTGGGATTTGGTGCACAAATTGATGAATTTATTATTATTTTTCATTTAATTTAACACATGTACAAGGTGTTCCAATTGTTTTCACTCCCCAACAGCGCTGAAGGGCGGTTCGTGAGGCTGACCTGTCAACAAAAGATTGTCATACAACTTGGCACTCATTGTGAGAAAAATATAGAATTACAAGAGATAATTCACTTGGAAATTAATCACTAAATACCTTTGTTGTTTAATCTGTGGAGCTAATTTGAAACTCTCAGAAATTAAATCTTTGAAATAAATCAAATACAATAACCCTTCAAGTTCTTATGTCAATATTTTCTAGTTCTTTTTCACCGCCATTCAGCGCTGTTGGGGAGTGAAAACAATTGGAACACCTTGTACATGTGTTAAATTAAATGAAAAATAATAATAAATTCATCAATTTGTGCACCAAATCCCACCTTAATTACTTCATATATATATATATATATATATATAAATCTAGCATTAGAAAATTAATTAAGTGTTTATATAAATATATAGTACTATCATTCCACTGCACACATCAAATTAAGTTCCCATCAAAATCTTGCTTTCTAACCAGCACGCAAAACCTAAGGATAAATTAATCAGATACAATCTCAGGCCAGTGCACGAAACAAAACGTGAAAAATTAAAATATATGGATGATCAGTAGCCTTTCTTTCTAGGCATCAGTGAATCTGAAAGGCCAAGAAAGTAGGATTATTTCATTGGATAGAAGTTGCAGGCAAACACCAAGTCTTCTGATCATGCACATTCACTATTTCTTGATGATTTGATCTTACATAGAAAAAGATATATATAGAGAATTGTAGTTATATCTGGGCCACCATGAACTATGGAAATATGGAATGGTAGCTTTCAGAAATGGAACCTTTAATTTTTACCACAATAAAAATTGGCTGGCGTAACCTGTACTTCCATGGTCATGCTGATGGTTGTTGAGCTTAAAAATTATACTTGCTGAGCTGCCATTCCATGATCAACTACAATTCCTTTCTGTTTTCTTCTTTTAAACTGACTGTCAGGTGTCAACAAATTTATATATAGTACCCCCCAACCATTGTCCCTGCCACAATTTAGTCTCCAACTCCAACCAATTTGGTTATACCACCAACTCTCAGTTGCTACCATTTTCTGCTTTTATTTATGTAACTACACATTGGCCCAATTTGCCCTAGCTAAGGGAGTAGGGTGGTCATAGGGGGGGGGGGGTGGTGGTGTTTGTGTCCTTTGTCATTACTTCGGAAATTTTGCTTTAGATCCATGCATGTAGGCCTCATATTTATAGCAACATGCCAGGATTTTAAATGGTCGCAGCAACTTGTGAAAGCTCCACAGGTGGTGAGAAAGATAGAATTGGAGCTCGCTTGGCCTCTTTGTAATGTTTCTTGCTCAAATGAGTATTCCAACAACAGTAGCCTTTTGAACAAGAACATATGTTTTTGCCTTGCATGATTATGATGTTGCAGATATCTACTGTTTCTGAGATGCTCATTTGAGCAAGAAATATTAGAAGAGGATATTTTTCTTCTAGGGTCTTGCTTCAATAAGATGAAGAACTGCTTGCTCAAAGTTTATCAGATAAGTTGCTGTACTTTTGTTCCCTAGCCACCACACATGCAAAGGTAGTTTTCTGATTTTTGCTCACAAGAGTCTAGCAATAAAACAAGGTTTAGGGTTTGCCTCCTCTCTTTTTTTTCCTGTGTTTTAGTTGCTAAATAGGGGTTTCATCTAGGTAGGGAATATTTAAGGTGATGTCTCAGGTGGCTTCTCTCTCCACCCCCCCTTCCCGCACCTTTTCCTCCCTCCCTCCTGGTCTTGTTATCCTGTCCTTATCATATCATGAGGTCCATCTATACAATTAATGCCTGTGCCAGTGATGATATGATTGCTCCTGATCAAGGATGATACTTTTGTTTTGTTCCTGTGAGCACGTATTCTGTCGAGTTTGTCACAGGGATCATGGTTAGTTTGTGTCTTGATGAAATCTGATGGACTGGTTAAGCATATTTTTCCATGAGATTTATTGTATGATGTCCTGAATTGAAGTTATCTGCGCTTGCTTACATGGAACTAATTCTGCTTCTGATCACAGGTTTCTAAATTCTCAAAATGGTTAGAATCTTCAGTTCTGCCGATCAAAGACTTGCTCCACTGATTCACATGTGCCTTTCTCTTTCTTGTGCTTGCTGCAGTTTTGTTATAATCCTTTTGTCACCATGAGACCTTATGCTGGTTCCACCTCAAATTCTATTTTTATTCCTGAACTATCATTACTGTCCCGGGATGTGTTTTGTTTACATCCGATGATACTAGCGTGTGTGTGTAATTTCACGGTCACTGCTGAAGCCATGTTCCTGAGATCAGATGTGCTTTATATGGTCTGTTCATTTCTGGTTCTTGTTCTGGGCTACTATGGACATATACTGATGTTCTTGTTGCTTCAAAATGGTTGATCATCTTCCTGTTTCTTCATGAGCTTCTGATCTTCTGCTATGAAAGCTGTATGTTTTCATTTTCAGTGTAATCTCTACTTCCTTTTATGGATTTTCCAGCTGTTCTCTTGGGTAGCCTTGAGTGATATAATATCTTTAATTAATTCTAATAAGAAGTTTCTTCGTTTGATCAGTATATATAGTCATGTTCAAGCTTGATCAATCAAACTCAAGCTTAACTTTGGACTTGAAAGATCTCAAATTTGATTCCTTGATTGTTTAAAGAAGCTCAGGCAGCTTGTTTAAGATTATAACCGGCTAGATTATTGGTAACCTAATATATATATATATATATATATATGTTTGAAATGTTATGGTAGACTAGCAAATTTGCAAAATCAACATAAAATAAAGTATCACTATGGTACCAATAACTTGAAAAATCAGTAATTCCAAAACTTAATATATTGTGTTCAATATTAATTAGCCTGGTTAATTAAGTTTATACTAGTATTTTATGAGTTAATTATATAACTTGTCCTTGACACTTAGAATGATTCATGATGAAGAAAGAAAATAAATGGATGCTCTTTTTTTAATTATGTTGTGCGAACCACGAAATATTCCAAATAATTTATAAAACATGGAATTTGTTGAAGATCAGGAAGCGTTTCAAATAAAATATTTGAATAAGATAAGAACATGTCCTTTATTTATTATTTAGTATTAGTTTTGTAGTTTTTATTATATTTTTATATATATAATTATATTAATTTGTTATAACTAATTATTTTTTTATCAGCCCTAATATTTAATGTCTTTTTTTTTGTTTATGAAACCTTAAAAAAAAAAATCAACAATTGAAGAAGTTGATATAAATCAACCTGTTTGAATAATAAAGTTCCACCAATTCTTGATATGCCTTGTTTGAAATTAAGTTGAGAGCATTTGCAATTACAAAAACTAATTAACAAACATTAGGGCACAACAACATGCATCTCAATGAATATATATTAGGGATTTTTTCCCTTAATCATCAAGATAAAGAATTAATTAAGGTGTTGATTTTCAGAAAAAGAGAAAAATGTATTGAAGAAGAAATTAAAAAAGAATCAAGAAGAAGATAGCACTATATTTGCATTTAACATCCACATACCATAATATGTGTTTAGTGGAAGTAGTATTTTTTTTTTTTGAATACGGAATGCAGAAAATGAACTCGAGTTAATTATATTTATATCTTATTATTTTACAAAAAAAAAATGTAATTGGCTGTAAATGCACTCCTTGATATAGATATGTTCGGACATAGAAGGGATTTATAATTTATAATTTTTTTTTATTAAATTATTTGATTTGATAAGATATTCTGGATTGATACAAATAAAAAATTCATGTTTAATTAATTAAAATATTCTAGCATGAATCATTTTTTCTTGAGATTCTGAAACATATCTTTTGTGGCAGCCAAGATCTTAATTAATTCATGGCAAAAGGTTGGAATGCATATATAGGCCGCAGGTGAGTTTCTTCGAAAGAATCCAAGCACTTCAATTAATCTTGTTGCGAAATTAAAATTAACCAAAAAAAAATGATGAAATCTCTTAAGAATTTTGGCCATTAGTGTATTTGATTTAGCTCTATAATTGACAGAGATTCCCTTCTAGCCAGTTGCTTGGAGAAGAATATATGCTGTTCTTGTAGTATATACCTTCTCCATTTTGGTAAGTAATTAAGGATATATTCTTACCTGCCTGTCCAAGTAAAGCAATTTGGAGGGCACCCATTTATACTGTGGGGGGAGAGGGGGGATATATATATAAATATATATCCCTTTCAAATTTGTCGAGCATACTAGTTTCTCATTACATTCCATCTGTGTGCTTTTAAAATTCTTGACTTTTTTTTTAGTTTTATATTATTTTTTTATATTTTTAAATAAAAATCACCTCAAGGAATCATTGAAATCGAAGCTTAATTTTTAGTTTTATTACATAATCCTATTTATCTAATCAACTACGTCTATATTTTGATAAGTAATTTTAGTTTGGATCGAATCAGAAACTGATATGGAACAAGATTCAAAGCCAAAGCTAAAATTCTAAGATCCATCTAAAGCAGCAGGCAGATACAACAGCTAAAAAGTACTCTCACTCACCGGAAAAAAGCAGCCAGACAGCACAGAAACCTCCCCTACGAAGAAAGAAAAGCATCTCAAGTCCACTTCTTGAATGGATTATGGTTATACCCCATGCAGTACAATTCACAACCTTCACCTCTCCTCACCACAAACATGGAGAAAGCCTTGGCTACGTTTTCTGCTTCAACAGCCACCGCAATTTTACTTCTTGCCTCAACTCTCTATATTCAAGGTATGGATAAATATACGCCTCTTCCTCCTTTTTGTATGGCGACCTTAAGATTTCATGTATGATTTATTATATATCAATGTTGCTATTTTGTTAGGAGTGGAAGGAAGTATTGGAGTAAACTATGGCACGTTGGCTAACAACCTGCCTCCACCAGCACAGGTAGCCCATTTTCTTTTAGAATCCACCATTATCAACCGCGTTAGGCTCTTTGATGCCAGCACCGAAATTCTACGAGCCTTTGCTCACAAAGGCATTGAAGTCACAGTCACAGTGACAAATGATCAAATCCCTCACCTTACCAACATAGGTTTTGCACAAGAATGGCTGAAGTCCAATGTCCAACCTCATGTGCGGACCACCAACATTGTCCGAATCTTGGTAGGCAATGAAGTAATATCAACAGCAAACAAATTGTTAATAGCAAGCTTGGTTCCTGCTATGCAAACTCTTCATACAGCTTTAGTTGGTGCGTCATTAGACAGTAGAATCAAAATCTCTAGCCCTCACTCTTTAGGCATTCTCTCAAGTTCGAGCCCACCATCCGGTGGGAAATTTCGACAAGGATATGATACACATGTTCTTAAACCGTTGCTTAGCTTCCTTAGAGCTACCAATTCACCATTCATGATTAACCCTTATCCATTCTTTGGATCCTCTCCTGAAACTCTTGATTATGCACTGTTTAGGCCTGGTTCAGGAGTGTTTGATGAAAACACCAAGCTTTCTTACACAAACATGCTAGATGCGCAACTGGATGCTGTCTTTTCAGCAATGAAACTTCTTGGTTTTAGTGATATTGAGATTGTCATATCCGAAACCGGGTGGCCATCACTAGGAGATTCATCACAAGTTGGTGTTGATGCAGAAAGTGCAGCTCAATACAATAGGAATCTGATGCAGCATGTAACATCTGGAGCTGGCACCCCGCTCATGCCCAACCGGACATTTGAAACTTACATTTTCGCACTTTTTAATGAAGATCTCAAGCCAGGGCCTACCTGCGAGAGGAATTTCGGATTGTTCCTGCCGGACATGACTCCAATGTACGATATTGGAATCCTAAGGTCTACGGTAGCTGCTGCTAGCAAATTCCACCATGCTACATATATCTCAGTCCTTACAATCGGGCTTCTAATAATTTCTAACAATGGTGACAACATGCTTTGTTAATTATTAGTTAATGTCAATTAACTCTCCGATCACCTTGCACGTAAAATTTTGATCGAAATTCTTTCTTGACAGGCTAAATCATCCATTCCTACGAATCCTGCCCTTGTACCAAGTGACTGCACTGGTGAGTCCAGGTTCATGAGAAGGGCCTTAAGGAAAAAAAGCGGTGCCTTCCTAAAACAGGAGCAGATGTGGAGGCTCTACAGAGAAACGTTGATTATGTGTGTGGCATGGAAATGAAGTACTGCACACCTATTCAAGAAGGTGGTGAATGCTTCCTGCCCATGGTGAGAGCTCACGCAGCATTCGCCATGAATGCATGCGATCAAGGCACGGGAAAGAATTGCGATTTCGAAACTGGGGCGATTTCAACAGTGGATCCAAATATGTCCCTTTTCTTTCTGCACTCATGATAATACACCCACACTCACCCTTTTTGTTTTTGATAGAAACTCTTTTACAAGAAATTGCTATATCTTTCTCCATTCCAGGGTGCACGTATTGAAGACATCGGTGCATGCAGTGGATTATTTGCAATGAAGAAGAGGGTTGGCTCAGAAGATGAACTTCTGTTTGTTGACCTTGAAAGGGCTATAGAACAAGAACTAGGAGAAAATATACGCTTAATTAGGCATTATGTCTACTGGTTTAGTAACTCTCATTCTAATGCTTATAGAATACGTATAGATAGGACAACAGGTCTACAAATATTGTACTGTTAGCTATTTGCTCAGAGATTTGTAAAAGTGAATGCTATTACATTGGTATAATCATATGAACATGGATTAACACTCCTTAATTATTATTATTATATATATGCTTCATTTAGATGAAGAAAAATAGTGAAATTCTGTTTAGGTTGGACTATTTTTCCCCACTTGCCAAGCAATGCATATTCTTCTTCTTTATAACTTTTCTCCATGAAGAAGTAATTCTCTTTCCAGTTAATTATTTAATTAAGATTTTCTTTATATTATTATATAACATGGTTTATAAGTAATATTTTACCATGGGATATTATTATATAATATAGTTAATAGGTAATCCTAGAAACGGGATTGTGCACACCGCAAGTCCACTTTTTTTTTTATTATATAAAAATAAATGTTTATGTGATGTCAACTAATTTTAAAGAAATAAAAAAACAAACAATTCAAGTTATATCCTCAATCAAGTTTAATAAGTTGATTTTATTTTAATTATAAATTAAAAAATAATAAGGATAATAAACAAATAATTTTAAAAAAACTTTTCAAAGTATATAATTGGATACAAAAACACAAATCAAGTCAACCAGAAATAGCATGATAGACATGTGACCTGGATAATAAAATCAATTCAACCCAAGTAAGCCCAAAAAAACTTGTGGCTAGATTATGAGATAATTCGATAGATAAGAAATATGAAGAAAACTACAAAGTCAATTTTTTTTTTAAAAAAATAATATCAAATGGTAAAATTATTTGGGAAAGAAAATAAGCAAAAAAAAAAAAAACTTCGACCTGTATTAACTTTTCAAACCCTTGATTCAAGTTATTAGACTGAAAGCACCATAAAAAGATAAATTACGAGGCTCAATCCCTAGAAAATAAAATGCCGATGGATCGATGAAATCATGAAAAAAATCAATTACACAAAAAGATATAAAATAAAATAATAAAAATTTAAAAATAAAGATGAAAATAAAAAAAATATATATTTTATGAAACTAGGCAATAAATTTTTTTTATTGGAAGGTTAAATTGAATAGAGATATAAATCTAACCTAAGGAAAAAAAAAGGATGAAATTATAAAAAATAATATACTATAAACTTGGATTAAATGATAAAATTAAAAACATCAAAATATTTACTAAAAAATCATGGAAGAAAATTAAAAATCAAAATAAAAAGGACCAAATTAAAAAAACTTATACATGACAAATTAGAATTAAATTAAAAATAAATAAAACTTTAACAAAAAGGTTTAAAAAATTTAATAATAAAAATTGAAATTAAAATATATATATAAAAAATTGACAAGCAATAAACTACCTCATGCAACGATATAATAAAAGAACATTTTATGACTTGAAGGTGTCGTCATGACGCCTAGAAAGCGGGGTATCTCTTACATTTCAACAAAATTTTAGAATTAAATAATATTTAATTAATATTAAAAGATAAAAATATCTTTAATTAACCTGATAATTATAAAAAAAAAATACCAAAAGATCTCTCCACTCAAGGTATAAGTTTCTTGATTTCAAGAGTATATTTGTCAATTTACTTTACATAAATAAATAAAAAGATAGTTATGATCCTTTTTACCAGTGTTATAAATTTTTTATCTTGGAGATAATTAAATTATTTTATTGTTCTTAAAAAGTGTGTGTATACATACATACATACATATACATACATACATACATACATACATACACACACACACACACACATATATATATATATATATATAAACAATCATTTAATTACTAGTATGCCATACGAAAAGATAAAAATGCCCATGAACAAAGACACGTGATTTCTTTGGGAAAAGCAAAGCTCGTTAACAATGTTTTTAACTTCCCTTTTAATTTCTATTATTATTATATGGCCATTGTCCTTTGGTTGTCATTAATATTTTATTAGTTAATTGTCATCTATAATGGATTCATTATTAAGCAAAAGAAAAACATTAATCGGGTTGGTGGTGGCGGCGGCTATGTTTGTTTTTCACTTGTTTTTATATTTGTAGTGAAACAAATATACTAATGTATTTAAGAATAAATTAAATTATATTTTATATTGTAGGGTTTATTAAAAAATTAAGTTGAAAACTAAATTTTTATGAAGTAGTTTTTATATTTTTTTAAATAATTTTTATAAAATCCTGTTTATTTTTATATTTAAAAAATATTTTTTAAAAAATTAAATTTTATTCTGTTTTTTTTATTTAAATTAATATATTTTTTAAAGGTTTCTCTTTTTCTTTTTAATTTTGAAATTTCTTTGAAATTGTGGGATATAGAAGAGAAAGGTATGACCCATCATTTCACTTTCAGCCAAGTGTTTGTCAAGATTTTTAAATTTTACTTTTACTATTAATATTTTTTCAATTTAACATTTTGTGCTATCTGATTTTTATATAAAACAATCTAGTAAGTTATAAATAATAATTGTCTAAATTAATATCAATAATATTTAATATAAAAAATAGCGGGATATTAAAATCACATGTGTTAAATTAATACACCCCATAATAAACCCTCTAATTTAATACTTGTATTTTTTTATTCACTAATGCTTATAGGACCTATTAATTTTATAGGTGTAATTTTAGTTCTTTTTATTTTTCACATAAAATATTATTAAGAAATTATTAACATGTATATGAAATTGGAAAAATTAAAAAAATGAAAAATCTTGACAAATGCATGATGACATGATGGGTTGGGTCAAGGGTGGAATAATAATAAAAAATTCAAAAAAATTGTGAGCCATTGAATGAGACTCAAAAGTGATCTCACTAAGATAATAGTTATATGTATTTTCTTATTTTTTATTTCTAATATTTAGCATTACTTTATAAAAAAAATTATAATTAATTTATTTGTTTTGGGGTTTTTTTTTCGATACTAGCATTACATGTATTGTATCCAAAGATCAAAGGGGTCATCCATAGGCTTAAACAAATCTTATCACCCTCCCTTAGGATTTTTCACGCATCGTATATTTTATTTAACCAACTTCTTTGAATTATTGTCTAAATCTTTTGTTAATTTAGTAGTTATGAAATTATGTTCATTTCATAAAAAATACTTCTCATTAGTAATAACTTATTTTTTTTATTCATGTTTTTGTTTTCACAAAAACATGTTGTTTTTGTGAGAAGTTTTTGTTTTTAAATAAAAACTTATTATAATTTTAAAAGAAATTTTTAACAAAAATAAAAAAAATCACGAACCAATAATTTTAACTCAAAAATATAAAAATAATAAATTTAAGAAGTGTTGTGTAGAAAATTTATAATAAAAAGATAAAAAGATAAATATGTCATTTGCATTAAATATTCATGAGTAAATTATGTAGTTCATATATGATTATTTGAAAAGTAATTGTTAATATTATCATAAAAACTAATATTATTTGAAAACTATGATATAATTATATAATTATTTTAATAAATTTATTAAAAAATAAATTTAATTATAAAATGTGTAAAAAGACAATTAGATATTAAAACATAAAATCCCAAAATAACATAAATCAAATATTGCATAAATATAAACGTTAAATAACAAAATGAAATATAAACGTTAAATAACAAAATGAAATTTACGTATGAAAAAATACTATTTGTTTTTTTATTATTTATTTTAATTATTATTCTTTATAATTTTTTAATTACAAATTTAAATTATATTTCATGAAATCAATGATTAATTTATTTTAGGAATTTGTAAATAAAGAAGAAAAAATAAAGATTTGATAACTTGTAGGAAAAAAATCAAGAAAAAATAAAGTTCGATAAAAAAGAAAGGAGATTTGAGCAGCGCTGTGCACGAGGCGTGAGTGTTTGTTTTTGCGTTGTCTTGTTTTACAGCTGCGCGCGCATGTTGCCTCACAACGTTGTTTGAGTGTGGTGCAGACATACAGCTGTGCGTGGGGATGTTCTGTTCACCTGCTGATTGATGATCAATTCTAGGGTTAGGGTTTTTTTAATTATCTTCTAATTTCAATGGCAGATTGGCAACACCTTCTCCAATCAATCTTCATAGGTCTTCTCTTCTCATACCTCCTCGCCAAACTCATTTCCATCGTTGTTTCTTTCCAAAACGACAATCTCCGTATCACCCGAAACCCAAAACCCCAATTGAACGAACCCGCCCCCGCCCCCGCCCCCGCCCCCCCCGCAGTCCATCATTACCAGCACTCTCATGGTGACGTAGATTCGGTGGTTGCAGAACAAGGCAGTGTCCGAAACGAGAGCGTATCAGGGAGTGATGGTGATGGTGGTGGTGGTGGTGGTGATGATGATGATGATGATTGGGAAGGTGTGGAGAGTACGGAATTGGATGAAATGTTTAGTGCAGCTACGGCATTCGTGGCTGCAGCTGCGGCGGATCGGGTTTCGTTGAAGGTATCGAGTGATTTGCAGTTGCAGCTTTATGGGTATTATAAGATTGCTACTGAAGGTCCTTGTACTAGCGCGCCTCCTTCTGCTCTCAAAATGACTGCCCGTGCCAAATGGTAATTTTTCGAATTATGTGTAGTGGGTTTTCATTTTGTGGCTTTTTTTTTTTGTAAGTAACAAGTTGGTGAAATGATGATGGATTAATCGGAATTGTAATTTAGGGTTTTAATGTGGTTAGATTAGGAGGTTAAGTTAATACTGGAGGTAAGAAACAGCTAAGGAAGTTCAATTTTTATGTAATTTGCTTGTAGTGTGGGCGGGTTGGATTTTGGTAAGCATGTGGGCTTGTTTATTTATGTGTTTGTTTTTTTTAAGGGGATTCAAATGGGTATTTTAAACTAGATGGATAATGGATGGGTTTGTTTGTGTATATAGTAGGGTGTGACTGGAATTTGTGATGAAAAGAGGTGAAATTCAAGTATTTGAAATTAGGTAGATTTACTTCAAGGTTTTGCTAATGATAGCGCAGCACTCTCGTGATATTTACTTGAAAGGATAGCTATGTGTTGGTGGTTCTTTGGAAGATATTTTTAGTTGATTCTGGTTATTGTTTAGTTTGTTTATTAATCGGGCATGTCAGTTTCTCCAGCATAGTTGATGGGGGTGAATGTTGTGTTTTTTATCTGAAGGTATGGTGGCTGATTGATTTTGAATCTTTGGGTGATTTATACCAGGCAAGCATGGCAGAAATTGGGTGCTATGCCACCAGAAGATGCTATGCAGAAGTACATTGATATTATTACAGAGCTGTATCCTACCTGGGCTTCTGGTTCAGCTATGGTGAGGTTTAGTTTTCTTATTTAACCTTTTCCTTTTCTTTGCCCTGTCCTGTAAATGTACTTTCTTTCATTTGACTTATCCTTGTTATTTTATACTTGCAATGATGATACAAGAGCAAAGACAGAGATGGTGTTGGACCGAGCAAGGATGGCAAAGGACCAATGGGACCGGTTTTCAGCACTTTTGTCTATGAGGAGGAATCAGGAACAGAGTTGTAAGGTTTTTTTAACTTCTATGTGGAAGGTCTACTTAATCTGCGGACCTTTAGGTCTTCATATGATCACTCAAATAGCACCTTTCCAAGAGTGGTATCCAGGACCTTCATGTGATTGTATGCTAGCATGCATGTAGAAAGTATTGAAAAGTTAATGTTTCTTTGGCTCTAATCTCATGGCATGTCATTTTTCCTGTTTGCGAGTCTTGGTGGAATATCTGGTAAAATGTTGATCAGGTTTCCTTGAGAAATTTTTTGTTTCAAGTACACATTGTCAACTGTATTCACACCTAGTTAGCTACTCTGATTTATAATGGTACCATACATTGCGATGAGAGACTGTTTTGGGGGAAATTATAAATGTCTAATAGATGGTGCTACTGAAAGTGAGGTGCAGGGGTCTTTGCTTTAGTGTGGAGTGGGAGCACTCTAGTGCTGCATCCAGTTGTTCCGAATCCCCTGATGTCTAATTTAGGAAATGGTTGACAGAAATGTTGTTTTTCAGCACTGGGATTGGAATTCTTTTATAATTCTAGTTCATGAGTTAATATGATTTCAAAGCTAGGTAATTTTGTTACAGTGAACCATATTTGGCCAATGCTTGACTTCTTAGCTACCTGCTTGAGGATAAGCGTAAATTTATTAGATCTGGGTTGAACTTATCATGCTTGGGATTGATTTTATTGAGCTTTTTATTTGATCGGTGCTTGAAAATTTGCAATGGATAAACTCTGAAGTACATTCCCACAACCACACAACTGGAGAAAGACATTTCCTGGTCTCCCTTTCCCATGTGGCAGGGTCAAAATTCTTTTCTAAGCAAATTTAGAATCCACAATATTTCTTTTTATGATCTCAGCAAATTGATTCTGATGCTAAAATCCTGGTGCATTCATGACTATTATTATCCATAATATGCAAGCAAAATGTCCTATTTGATTTCATCAAATGAATAGGAATGTTAATAAAATGTTTTCTATCACTAGAGCATAAAAGAAAGGAGATTTATGCTCCATTTTACAGGTTTGCAGTTTTAATGGACTTTATGCCATAAATAAGTGCCAAGTCCATTGCCCAACATTCAATTGAAAAAAAATACCATGTGCATTTTCTTATTGAGACATTTTCCATTATGAAGTCTATGTCTGCTTGAATAATGTCAACAATGAGTTAAAAATGTAGATGCTATTTAGTGAACATGTTTTTGGTACCCTCATCAAGGGTATCTTTCTAAATGTTAATCATAGGCCCACCCAAAACAAGCTTAATGGTCTGTTATTCCTGGTTTTCAGGAAAATGGATGCCATTCATGCGTTTGCCAGAGAAGGAGAAGTGAATAATTTGATCAAATGCATTGATGGTGGTGTTTCTGTGAACTTGAAAGGTTCGTTTCTCCAGTGTCTGCTCTTTTCCCCAGTCACGTGTTTTGACACTGAAATAAGTGAATGATATTATATTGATGCCATGCCTAACGGTTTCACCTTGATTGCTTGGGTGCTACTTGTATATGCAAATTGAGCTGTTGCTGAATATAGCCTTTGAGCATGCTTGTCCAATTTAATGGGTCATTATTGAGCTTATACTTGCCAGAGCATCATCAATACCAGGCGCCGTGCAATGATGCAATCATATGCAAATTGAGTAGTTTAGGCAATGCTTTACAATACTTGGAACTATATCATGTGTTAGAACATGCACAATGGCATCCTTTTCTATTCGTTTCCCTGTTTTGCATGTTGCTTATTCTTTTCCTCAAGCCAATGAGATGTCTTGCACTTATGAAAATCCATCAAGCTTTTTTGGGAATCAAACTTATTGAGACCTATCTGCAATGTTGAAGGATGTTCTGACTTTTCATATATGCTTTTTATTGGAGGACTTAATGAAGAATGTTTTATTTTGCTTCTGCTGATTTTTTAGTATTATGAACAGTGTACTTCCATATTTTATGTCTCTCCTTGTGTTTCCTGTGCTGTACTTGTGCATCAAAAGCGTGGATTTGGACAAAGTTTCGTAGCTTATTGTTGACCTTCATGTGAACCTAGGGGCTTTAGAGATGATTAGCTCCTTCTAAGCATTTGTGATTATTGTAGATAGTGAGGGTCGGACTCCTTTGCATTGGGCGGTAGATCGTGGTCATCTTAATATTGCCGAGGTGCTTGTTGGAAAGAATGCAGACATAAATGCAAAGGTAAATAGATGTTTTAGGCATCTCTTTTGAAGTGTCTTCAATTCTCTGGTACTATTACTTTCAAATATCTTTCAGATCAAAGTACTTGTAGTTTTGAAGCAATTAATGTTATAAATGTCCCTTTATGGTTTGCTTTAATTTCTGAAGTTTCTATCTCAAGTTAGAAATGAGCATTCCTTATTGGGGTCTTTAAAATCATTGTTCCTTGCCCACATTCTCTAGTGTTTGTTGATTTTAGGTACCATTTTCAGGCGGTTAATATGAGACAGAGTCCGCCCTGATATCTCTCCCTCTGCACAAAAAAAAAAAAAAAAAAAAAAAAATGAAAAGAAAGGAAAAGAAAAGTTATTTGGTGCCATAGGTTCTTTGGGCGAATACGGCTTTTGTAAACTTGTTTTTAAAATTTGCCTTATGTTTTATGGCTAGCTGCCAAGGGGATTCTTTCTTCTTTTTGTTTTGTTGCTATTCTGATAATTGCTAATGATTCAATTTTTTTTAATGGCAGGATAATGAAGGCCAAACCCCGTTGCATTATGCTGCTGTCTGTGAGAGAGAAGCAATTGCTGAATATCTTGTGAAGCAAAATGCAGATACAGATGCGAAGGACAACGATGGGCAGTCTGCCCATGATCTCTGTGAGTCAGATTGGTCTTGCCTTCAATGCCCCGCGGCATAGACTGACCGGCTGCCTGTTTATTTCATGGTTTGTCCCCATTAGTCTTCTTGACAAATTCCCCGCAGATGTATATGACTACATACAACCTTTGAACTTTGTTCATCTTAGCAACAAATTTACTGATGACATCACGTTCTCTGCCATGGCCCCTCATGTTTACTTTTCTCTTCCCTTCACGTAGTTTATGTAAAAAACATGAAGGTTGAGTTTAGAGGGTCGTTAAATGACACGCGATATGCTATGTGTCACGGGGTTAAATTTTTCGCAACACAATTCAACCCAATGCGGCAGTCTAGTCCCAACTAAACTCAGCCTTGCCTCCCCTTTTCGCTCGTGTTTCCTACGACTATGTGTTTCGCTCACCCAACGAAGTTCCCACAATTGCCAAGTCGTATAAAAGGAACAAACACAAGCAAGCACACAAGTTTACAAGAATACCTCTCAACCTTTATTTATCTCATCAACAAAGGATTACACAATACAAGTGTGTGTGCTATGCACAAAATCGCATGCTACACAGCAGAGGCTTGGCAGCCTATTTATAGACAAGTGTGAGTTGCTAGGCTCACCCATAATCCCTATTTTTCAGGCCATAATGGGGCACTTACTCCCCATGATCTCCATGATCTCTCATTTTCGGGGCATAGTGGAGCACTTGCTCTCCCATTAACTTAGTGGCTTACATAGTGGAGCACTTCCTTCCCCACTCAGCTGCCACTTCCCCACATTTTGCCCCCAATGATACAGCCATATTCTGCCTATCCGCATGGCAGTCCCTACTGCCTATTCTGCTGCGTCAGCTGCTGACTTAGAAGGTCCATCACCTAAGCTCCCACGTCCATGCCAAGTCGCAAGCTCAACGACTCGCATAGACCATTGCACACTGCCTGCCGAATTCGTTTCTGCCTACGCAAGGCTGCCGCTGTCCATCGCTGCCGAATTCTAGGCAATGTGCCTTCGTTGGCGCATCCCTGCGCCTAGAGCCTTAACAAACCACCCCCACTAGAAGAGTCCGACGTCCTCGTCGGAATAGATGTGAGGTAGTTTTGCACTTGATCCTCAAATTGCCACAAATCTGTGTCCTTCTCCCACGAAACCTCTTCATTCGTCTTCCATTTCACTAAGAATTCTGTCCGCCGATTCTTTTTGTGTTGGCCAAGTCGACGATGATCCATAATCTTGACGATACCATCGTCAAATTGCTTGTGAATCGTAGGAGGGGCTCGTTGCGACTTACTTCTTTTAGGATCCTCATTGTCTTCATAAAATGGCCGTAAGTAACTTACATGAAAAGTGGGATGAAGCTTCAGCCGTTCGGGCAGCTTCAATCTATAGGCAACAGCCCCAACCTTTTCAATGACTTCAAAAGGCCCATCATATCTTGGCACCAACCCTCGGTGCTTTGACGTCCCCACAATTTTCTTCCAAATTTGAGGAGTTAACTTGAGCAACACCTTGTCACCCACACTGAATTCCAGCATTCTTCGCTTTTGATTTGCATATTTGAGCATCCGCTTCCTGGCCTTTCGCAAACTATCTTGAGCTTGCTCAACCAGCTCCTGTCGCTCCATCGCAAATCTGTATGCCGCTGGACTCTTCCCACCAGATATCTGCACTGCAATCTCGGCAGGAGTTTGGGGTTGTGCCCCCAAAACCAGCTCAAATGGACTTGCTTCCGTTGCCGAGGATTTTTGAAGATTATAGCAAAACTGCGCACTATCTAGCAACTCCAACCAGTTTCGCTGCATTGCTGTCACGTAGTGTCTCAAATATTCCTCTAGCAAAGCATTTATCCTTTCCGTCTGCCCATCAGTCTGCGGATGGTTGGCAGTCGAAAACTTCAGCCTTGTTCCCATCATGTTGAACAATGCTGTCCAGAATCTACCCGTGAATCGCACATCGCGATCGCTTACAATGTCTGAGGGTACTCCAAAGTATTTCACCACGTTGCGGTAGAATAAGTCAGCGGCCACTTCGGCTGTACACACCACAGGGGCAGCTACAAACACCGCATACTTGGTGAATCTGTCCACGACAACCATGATCGTGTTCATGCCATCCACCTTTGGAAAGCCAACAATGAAGTCCATCGAAACTGATACCCAAGGCTTCTCTGGAATCGGCAGCGGCTGTAATAAGCCTGCTTCTCGCTGCCGCAAAGTCTTGTCTTGTTGGCACACAAGACAAGTCCTGACGTAAAGTTCTACATCGTCTTCCATCTTCGGCCAATAATAAGTCTGCGACAAGAGAGCAACCATCCTTTCTCTACCTGGATGTCCTGCCCATTGCGGATCATGAGTCTCCATCATTAAGTGTTTTCGCAGCTCCCCCTTTGGCACAAAGATTCGACCCCCCTTTGCATAGAGTAGGTCTTGTTCCAGCCAATACCTCCGTATTGTCCCTTCTCGTACAAGCTCAACCATTTTCTTGTACGCTGCATCTTCCCCAGCAGCTAGACGAAGTCGTCCCAGCATGTCCGACTCCACCTGAACAATAGCAAGAACAGTAGCAATTACCTCGCGTCTGCTGAGTGCATCCGCAACCTGATTATGACTCCCCGGTTTGTGCTCCCATACAAAGTCATATTCGGCCAAGAATTCCTGCCACCGAGCCTGTCTCTGTGACAATTTCTTCTGTGTTTTGAAAAATGTGTTCGCCACATTATCAGTCTTGACCACAAATTTTGGCCCCAACAGATATACTCTCCATATGCCTAGGCAGTGCACCACTGCCGTCATCTCTTTCTCATGCGTCGAGTAATTCTGTTCCGCATCAGTCAGCTTCCGACTCTCAAAAGCAACTGGATGTCCCTCTTGTACTAGCACTCCCCCAATGGCCCTATCCGAAGCATCCGTATGCACTTCAAATGGCTTCTCAAAATCAGGCAGCCCCAAAACTGGAGCTGACGCTACCGCTGTTTTCAGCTTCTCAAAAGCTAGTTGGCAGTCAATCGTCCATTCCCAACTCCGATTCTTCTTCAGAAGATCCGAGAGAGGAGTTGTTTTCTTGCTATAGCCCTCAATGAATCGTCTGTAGTAGTTTGCAAGCCCCAAAAATGACCTCAATTCCGGGACTGATTTTGATGCTGTCCATTCAACGATGGCTTGAATCTTCCGTGGATCCATCTTCACCTGTCCTTCGCCAATTAAATGGCCTAAGAACATAATTTCATCTCTTTTGAGAAGATCCGAGAAAAGAGTTGTTTTCTTGCTATAGCCCTCAATGAATCGTCTGTAGTAGTTTGCAAGCCCCAAAAATGACCTCAATTCCGGGACTAATTTTGGTGTTGTCCATTCAACGATGGCTTGAATCTTCCGTGGATCCATCTTCACCTGTCCTTCGCCAATTAAATGGCCTAAGAACATAATTTCATCTTTTGCAAACTCACACTTTTCCCTCTTTACATACAATTCATGTTCTCTCAATCTACTTAAGACTTTAGAGAGATGAGTTACATGTTCTTCAATGCTTCTACTATAGATTACAATGTCATCTAAGTAGACTACAACAAAATTATCTAAGAAATCATATAGCACCTCATTCATTAGATTATAAAATGTTGCTGGAGCATTTGTTAGGCCAAATGGCATAACTAGAAACTCGTATGAGCCATACCTTGTCGCACAAGTAGTTTTATGCTCATCCCCATTAGCAACGCGCACTTGCCAATACCCCGACCGCAAGTCCAATTTCGTGAAGATAGAGGCTCCGCACAATCTATCCATCAAATCCTGAATTAAAGGGACATGATATTTGTTTTTGATTGTTACCTTATTAAGTGTTCGGTAGTCCACACACATGGGAAGGCTTCCATCCGCCTTCTTTTGAAACAGCATAGGAGCACCATATGGAGCCTTGGAAGGGCGGATAAATCCCGAGTCAATCAGCTCTTCCAATTGTTTCCTTAGTTCTGCCAATTCCATTGGCGACATTCGATAAGGGGCTTGAGATGGTGGCTTTGTCCCTGGCACCAACTCAATTCGATGGTCGATGTTTCTCCTAGGTGGGAGTTTCTTCGGTAGTTAAGGCGGCATTACATCCTCGAATTGCTGCAGCATGCTAGCAATTTCGTTTGGCACCTCTCCACAATAGTCGGCCTTCTCATCAACTATTGTCGCAAGAAACACTTCCCCTCCTTTCCGCAATGCTTTGTCAATAGCAATTGCCAAGACCAAGCTCTTTCCCCCTTTCACTACTTTCACAGCTGCGATATTGCAACATGGGACGAAACATGGGCACCCCTCACTTGCAATCATGACTCCATTGAGATATGGCATCAAAACTATATTGGCTTTTCGTAAGAAATCAAGACCAAGAATAATATCGTAATCATCAAGATTTATGACCAACACATCATGCTTACCTCTCCACTGATCCAGCATTATCGGCACATCATAAGACATCCTAGCAATTCTTTGTGCCTTCGAGTTTACTGCCTTCATAGATGTATGGCTATCACCCAGCCGCAAGCCAAGTTCCTTCACCAGCCGATCTGCCACAAACGTGTGGGTTGCACCTGAATCCAGCATAGCATTCATGTTTTTGCCGTTTATCCCAATCTTCACATACATCGGTTGTTCGTAGTCCCTGACTTTCCCTTTCGCAGTGTATCAATCCTCGCCAAGTCTTGATCGACAGGGCGGGTTTCGACAGCCGTATCCCCTGATTCAGCTACCAGGCAGTTTATCACACGCATAGGATTGACGTGCGTAACTACCCCCTCATCCTCATCGCTACCCCCAGCCCGGATAGCATTCAACTTCTCCCTCTTCGGGCATTCCCTCGCAAAGTGAGGTCCATCACAAATGAAGCAAGTAAAGTTCGGTTTTGGACTCTTACCTTGTGCACCCATAAACTTAGCCTTGCCCTTATCCACGGCAGCAGCCTTCGATGCACCCCCACCGAATTTCTTCTTCATCTTATCCTCCTTGTTCCTTCCCTTAGACTTGAAGGAGGCAGATGTATAGCCCTCTCTAGTAGTTGATTTGAAATCAACCAAACTGTCCGCAGTAGCAATAGCGGAGGACAGATCCTTCACGTTCTGTCGTCTTAGTTCCGCTTGCGCCTAAGTTTGCAACCCAGACATGAAGTTGAAGAGCCTGTCCTCCTCGGACATATTCTCGATATCGAGAATCAAAGAACTGAAAGATTTAACATATTCGCGAACTGACCTTTCATGTTTGAGCCTTTTTAATTCCTCCCGTGCCATCC